CGGGCGTGGATTGGGAGTCTGCTGATTGTAGTGATCCAAATGTCGATTGGTACTCCAGTGTCGACTGATAATCGATGTCCGACTGTTGGTAACTCAATACCCCAAGGAGCTCAATGTGATACAAGGTTACGGCGGGAAGGACGTGCTTATGATAGCACAAAGATACAGTACGCACTACATAGTATGTAGTACATACTGAATCTTTGTGAATCACAAATTGTGATTGCATCTTTGTATCGTGTATCTGCGTACCACCCAGGTACAAGAAGACAATGGTTAGGATCTCGATTAACATAACAACGATATGACCTATACGAGCTACAACCTACAGACCTATCGACACGATGATACACAATCCATCCTTCCGCAAGTTTATACTGGCACTCAACGACGTTGCTAGTTGTGCAGCACGTTGAGTCAACGTGCTGCACCGTGGAATGTAGATGGCCTGTGTCCGATATATGGCTCAAGTGCTATAACTCTATTGGTGTTTCCCAGTTCATACTGATCGTGTTTGCAATGTGGAAAATGATGCATGAGGAGCGATGTGATATGATCAGTGATGAGCGATTCAAACTTTCTGACTGAGGGCGATTCTCTTACTTTTCTGGCAGCAGGTCGGGCTTGATTTTACCGTCAGTGATATCAGAAAGGTTCGAGGAAGAAGCAGCGTGAGTCCGGGGGGCTGACTACGGGTGCGTGAAAAAGCTCGAGTTGCTCTCTGACTAGTAGACGCAAGAGTGGGTGTCATAGGAGTGAGTGAAGGACGCACTGATACTCGTGATGTTACGTTACATTACATCAAGCGAGATCCAAATGACTAATACCAACAATGTGCAACTGTGTGCGCTCCAACTTGATCGACTCTATCATAGCTGCTGGAAGTGCGCACAAACAGAGTATTCAGGGATACTGCTTCCCATGTACCATCAGCAGTGCAAGCTTCTTGCAGCAAGAAGCACCGACAACAAGATTGTAGAATAAGGAAACACAGAGTAAGAAAAAGAATGGTTCACTTCTCAAGGTGTTTCCGTTAGCCTCGACCAACATAGGGCTCACGCGTTATGCGTTAGCGTGCAAGCTGAGTATCATCTCAGCATTTCCCTCCCATTCAAGTTCAGGGGTTTATAGGCCAAAATGCGCAGTCTCGTCGGTGCTATCCTCGTCCTCGTCGTTCACCCCATTCTCCAGGCTAAGCCGAACGGGGAATATTGCGGTACCCGAATCGCCATGCTGGGCGTAGCCTACTACGACATATTCGTGACGACTAAGGATATCGACATATGGGCTTCTTGGAATCGATCTTATGGTGGCGATCGATATGAGTATCGTTATGGCTATACCGGTTCTTTGCCCTACTCCTACGTTGAATCGACCCACACGTTAACAGTGCTTGACACGGCCGCGGTGGCAAGGCTCATAAGAAAGATAAGAATGGGCGTGCCGGTAGCAGCTCTCACTTATTACGCTTTTCATGATAAAACTCTCTACATGACAGCTCTCTACAATCAGCCTCTGCCCCCATGCAATATGGCTCTCATGACTCATGAGCCATGAGAATCCGTGTGTCTGCGCGATCTCCGCTCGACACTTATCGTCACTCGCATAGCGATGATACAGGTGTCCTCTACAGAGCTTGTATTTCTGTATCTCGTATCTCTGCTACTCACCAGTGGTGAATCACTGGTGCTCAGATCGCTGAGTGATCTGAGCACTTCTCGTGGCAGTTTCATTATCATCATTAACTCTACTCTGGTCGACCTATTCCATCAACATCTTGGACTACGATAACTACTATTCATTTCAAGAGCGAACGCTCGCTGGGGTGGTTCCATATATCCCCAATGATGCTTGCGTATCAGTCGCATGCAGCGGGAGCTCGAGCTGCTCGCCGAGGATTTTGATCCAGGTTGTCTTTCGTTTTCTCAAAGGTTAACGCTATTTTTGTTGATTAGTTCCGACAAATGCTCCGTCACACGAGGAACCCGCAATGAACGGTTCACTGAAGGCAGGGTGGCTGAAAATTTTCATAGTGAATTACTTCCGGAGTGTTTCAGTGAAATATTTCACTATCAGCGAGATCTCCATTCGGGGAGGGAAGTTTCCGTCAAAAACTAGTGCCTGAGGACTCTCATTGAAAATCACGGGCCTATTTCACAAGAAACGCTCCTTAAGACGCACCTTGAGTTCAAGAGCAAGGAGCCTTAGTAAGGCTGCCTCACACCTTACGCGAGGTGCTTTCACTGCAGTTGCCCCCCATGCCTCTTATGCTCCTAAATTTTAGGTTCACCTCGTGGAACCCAATAAGGAGCACGAGGAGCACCTAAACGATCACCGACGCGCATGGAAGAGTCGAAGCAGTGTTTCAATATAGCCAAAAATAAGGTTATTGCCATTGAAATTCAATAATTGAATAGATCATCCGCGGGCGAGACGCGCGGGCTGGTGGGAAAAAGCGGAGCGAATCCGCCGTAGATGATAAGGCGGGTGCGATAAGGTGCCGTAAAGTACCTCCGGAGCAGTCCTACGGCACCTCACATAAGGGTCGCAAAGAGGGGGTCAAAAATCCCTCCTATGAAATCGCCTTACGTGAGGAGGCCCTGCTGGCGCCTTGTAGGGTAAGGAGCCTTACGGTGAGGAGCCTTATGCCACCTTACCTTGCTCCTACTCCCCGAATCTTAAGGATGTGAAAGCGCCTTACACTCAAACCGTGAGGTACCTGGCATTTTTTGCTCCTTGTAAGGGCTTGTGAAAAAGGTTCCACGAGTGGAATTGGTCCTATTAACAGCGATATTGTTCAGTAGAAATGGGGAAAATCGAGAAGTGGGGAGAATGGGAGGAGTCCCGGTTGTAATCGTAGTTTAGCTCCAGGAGTTACAGTAACTCCGTTACTGAAGTAACACGACTCTACTGAAGTAACTGAACGGTACACGACTGAAGTTACTCAGTTGCTTCAGTGGTGGCAACGAAATTGATCTTAGGATGCGAAATTGATATATTAACAGCGTGTGAAATTCCCAATGACATGGAGGACGCGATGGACAGATGTAGCTGATTGGCCGATATAGCCAACGGAAAGTATGGCGCATCGCCCACAGCAGATGCCGCTGAGAATAGCTGGTGAGATTCCTAGGTCACAGACTGTTCAGAACAGCCTATAACGCAGGAGCAGCTCACTTCGTGAGCCTCACGACGTCGTAGTGACAATCAGCTGCTAGACAGATCGAACCGCAGAGCGGTGGTTACTGTGGACAGACCCAGGGAGTGTGACTCGCCGAACTCCACTAGAATGACTCCAGTCAGCGGTCACCTATCATGGCTGAGAAGCCTACCAACGAATACCATCTAAGCCTCTCTACGGACTTATCTTGAAATATCGGAGACGAATTCTAGCCCTGCTACCTCCATATCGAGGGATTAAGCTGGGAGATGCGCGAAAGATCAGCCAAGTCTAAATCACCAGACAACCAAGTTGGTTGAACCAACCCCATGGCATGATAATCAAGCTTTGGTCATCTGTATCGCCCGGGTATGTGCACTAGCTTGAAGCTAGTAGCTTCGGATGTGCGCAAGATGCTCCTCTGGCTTATCACAGGCTTATCGAACAATCACACATTCAACCTCTCCTTCGTCGTGTAGGAGTGGGAAATTTCTCTACCATTCGAATTTCACTCTCGTCGATCAGCCGTAGTTGATCCCTGCCAGGAAAGCAGGGTGGCTGAAGGCTGAGGAAGAATCATTCTTCCCTTCCCCAATAATTCCCGTTTTAGTTCCCGGGAATAATGACTGGTCAAAAAGGGGAATAATAGGCCTTATTTGGGGAATTATTGTACAAAATCGTCTTTTTCTCCAACATCACCCCAAAAGAAAGTCCGAAAGCATACATAGGCGTCTTAGGAAACCTTCTCGGCCGTAAGGCCGAAAAAAATACGAGCTTTCTCGCATCCTGTCACTTTTTTTGATATCGAACGTCACTGACGTTACGTCAGGGCGAGCGCGCGCGAGATGTTCGCAATTCGCAAGTTGCACAACGGGCCAGTAACTGGCCGCCAGTGACGTTGCGTTCATACCCCACTGGTCCCAGTACCTCATCGTGG